AAAAAAAAAAAGCAGCAGGTGCAAACCAAAGCCAGTAATGAGCGGATGACAGAGGCCTGATTCAAAATAAAAAAAGTCACCACATGGACAAAGTTGGGGCTGATCGAAGGAAGGTGTTCGGAATTTTTTCTATGCAGCCCTGATAAGCCAAGTATCTCTGCTCAGGTGTCAGAGTGTGGGTATTTAAGAAAGGTGTTTTAGGAACTCAGAGGAGATGTGTCCCAGAAGAAATGGCATCCTGGCCAGGCAAAAACTGAAAGCTATTGGGCAGAGGTTTTGATTTTGTGTGTTTTGCTCCATTTGTGGATAAATTTTGAAAGAAAAAAGTACATGAGGAAAGACACACCAATGGGAAAATTAGGGCATGTTGGGGGGAAATTAAGTAGTGTATTTTAATGTTTCTCGGTGGAATACTCACTGCTGAATTTTGGAAGGGACAGCTCTTCCTCATCCCAAGGACTACCTCAGCACCCTCCCACTCAATGACATCAGGACTCCCAAACACTGACAACAAAAGGCGCCCCCACACATCTCCTAAACACTCCCAGGAGTGCTACTGCTGAGCTGGAACACGGGGCAGCCCAGCCCACACGGAGTCAACCTCGGACGCCAGAGAGGGCACCAGTTCCTTGGGCAGTTCCCCCTGCAGCTGCGATCCCTGCAACAATGGTTCCCAGTGTGGAGTCCCCAGACTAGCAGCAGCCGTCTCACTTGGGCATTTGCTAGAAATGCACATTCTCGGGCCCCACACCAGATCTACAGAATCAGAAACTCCAGGACAGGCCCAGCTACATATGGTTTCACAAGCCCTGGAGGAGTCAGATGCTCCCTGGTTTGAGATGCTTGGGGGGTGTTGGAGGGATGGGCTCTGAGTTCTCAAGCCTAGAAAATTCTCTTCCATCCTGATAGGCCAATCTCCTCTCTTTCCCACCGCTACCTGTGGGTTTGGTCCGGGACTGAGAAAATAAAAGTCGAGCAAGGAGGCAAGGCAAGAGAATAAAAACAGCTAAATAGGAGACAAGCACAGGCAAGTCTCTCCTTCTCAGGGCCCTAGGCCACACCTACAAAGTGGGAGGAGAGGAGAGAAAGTAGTCAAACCAGAATTTCTTACCTGGAGCCCATGAATGTGCTTCAGGGACCCATGATCCAGGAGTCACAGTCCTATACGCAGTTGCAACTTCCTGGGAAGAGGGCCATGCCTACCTGACCGTCTCAAAGGTGTCATCAGCAGTAAAAATTAAAAAGTACAGGGCTAGGCTAGGTAGCTCAGCTGGTTATAGCATCCTCCCGATAAGCCAAGGTTATGGTTTTGATCCCCAGTCAGGGAACATACAAGAATCAACCAATGAATGCATAAATAAGTGAACAACAAATTGACGTTTTCTCTCTAAATCAGGGGTGGGGAATGTATGGCCCATGAGTCATATATAGCCTGCAAAATCATTTGTTCTGGCCCTGCCAAGGCAACCACAGGTGGGACTCAAAACTCAATAAATCTAGGAGCTTTTTTCACAGCTAATTTTTAAATGGATAATTTTGTATGGCCCACAAATGATGTTATAAATATCCAAACAGCCCTTAGCAGAAGAAAGGTTCCCGACCCCTGCTCTAAATAAATAAATAAATGTATAGGGCTAGAGGATTTTAAAGTCCCTTTTGAACTTTCAAATTCTTTAATTCCATGGGAAATAAGGGGATGAATGCACTCATACGCAATTTACAACTAAGCAGCCCATCGGGAAACAAAAGGGGAAACTGGGACCTGCTTGGCAAGACAAGGAGTGTGACCCAAAGCTGCCCGCACCTCAAAGGATCCCAACCTTCTAGTCTAGGCCAAACATAAAGACCTCAATTCTGTTCCTGGTTACAAATACACCAACTCCCTCCAGAGTTAATGAGACTTCGGCGGCTGCATCCAAAGGGTAGAAATTTAATAGATTCCAAACAACAGGCACATCTATCAACAGCAACAGCTTTCAATGAAGGCTCTTAGGGAGAAAAATTGGGCAATGGCAGCCTTCGGAGGTATGAGACAGCAGGTCAGCATTCTGACATAAAAACCTGCCCACTGGGGGGGGAGGGGGCAGGCCTCTGGTGGTGATTAGATGGTGGGTGCTGCGGACCTTGCCGTAGTCATGGTAACAAAGCCACCTTAAGGACCTTTTCCAGAAAGCTGAGTAAAGTATTTTTTTCCTTCTTTAATGATTTAATTCTGATGGGGATGTATTGCTAAACACATTTCATCTCTAAACTTGGAACGACGACGAACAGCCTCTGTAGACTGATTCACCAGGGAAATGGTTCACCCTTGATCTGAAAGACCTTTCTGTGAGGTAGCAGGACCTTGTGATTCCACTGTGTTGGCCTACAGGCAACCCTATGCTTTCCACCCTCACCTCCCAAAAATAAGTCTGGTTCTGAAGGAGTTAATGTGGGCGAGGGAGGAAAGCTGCCTGGAGGGAAAGGACAGAGCAGTG